GGTCATGAGTGACGCGCAACCTTGGCAAAAAGCGAAGAAGCCGAAAGGCAAGTGCTACAATTGTCAGCAGAAAGGACACTGGAAGGCAAACTGCCCCTCTCCCCAGGAAATTCGACAAAGCTACACCTTTTTCTTTAGTCGTTGAAACATGTTTAGTGGTGTTATCTACCAGTACCTGGTGTGTAGATACAGGGGCCACTGATCATGTCTGCAATTCATTGCAGGGGTTCAAGGAAACCATGCAACTTAGGGAAGGAGAAGTTACCATCTACTTGGGCGATGCTAGTAGAGCGTCAGCAGTTGCAGTGGGAGACGTCTATTTAGATTTTGGCTTAGACAGGTTTCTAGTTTTGAAAGATTGTCTTCATGTTCCAAGTTTTAGAAAGAATTTAATTTCAGTTTCTAAGTTGTTTATGAACGGTTTTTCCGCTACGTTTGATAATAAAGTTGTTATTCGTTTTGGCTAAAAGTTCATATGTTCTGGTTCATTAGTTGACAATCTATACATTCTAGAATCTAAGTCATCTCCACTACATTCTATAAATAAGAGGAAGGAACCTTCTAAAATGAACGAAACATATCTTTGGCATCTAAGACTTGGTCATATTAACCTTAGGAGGATTCAAAGGTTGGTAGAGACGGGCCCTTGGGGTCGTTAGAAGTCGACGCTTTTCCAACTTGTGAATCTTGCCTGGAAGGTAAAATGACTAAGAGGGTTTTTAGTTCAAAGGGGCATAGAGCCGAAGATGTGTTAGGGCTAGTTCATTCCGATCTATGTGGACCTATGAGTGTTTAAGAGAGAGCTGGTTTCCAGTACTTCGTTACTATCGATGATTATTTGAGATATGGGTACATTTTCCTTCTGCACCGCAAGTCTGAATGCTTTGAGAATTTGTTAGAGTATAAGGCAGTTGTGGAGAAGCAGTTAGGAAAAAGTATCAAGTCATTACGATCAGATCGCGATGGCGAATATCTCTCGAATGAATTTAAGAGCTACTTGACGGATAATGGGATTACGTCCCAGCTGACTGCGCCTGGCACGCCTCAGCAGAATGGCGTAGCATAACGGAGGAACATGACTCTTATGGGAATTGTTAGGGCAATGATGAATTATAGTAGTTTACCAGATTCATTTTGGGGATATGCCCTAGAAACAGCAGTATACATTCTGAATAGAGTACCTTCTAAATCACTACCGTCTACACCATTGGAGTTGTGGTCTCGGCATAAGTCTAGTCTAAGGCATCTCAGGATTTGGGGTAGTCCAGCAAATGTGCTGAGAACCGATACTGATAAGTTGGAACCGAGAACAGAAGTAAGGTTGTTTGTGGGATATCCTAAGGAAACGAAAGGTGGTCTATTTTATAGTCCCGAGGAGCAGAAAGTAATCGTTAGCACTAATGCTAGGTTCTTGGAAGAAGACTATGTCTTAGATCATAAGCCCAATAGTAGATATGTTCTTGAGGAGTTAAAGGGAGTGAGTACTTCAATACCGAGTGCGCTAGATATTACACCACAAAGTACTGCAAAACATATCGCTGACGATGCACCTGAGCAGGTAGTACCTCGTCGTAGTGGGAAGGTTGTCCGGCAGCCCGAACGGTTCATGGGTCTGGGAGAATCTTCTGAGGCCGTCCCAGACGTTCTTGAATCCTACCCTTCGACATACAATGAGGCACTCCAAGATCGGGACGCAAAGTCTTGGCAAAAGGCGATGAAATCTGAAATAGAGTCAATGGACTCTAATCAGGTCTGGGATCTTGTAGAGTCACCCAGTGGCGTTCGCTCCATTGGATGCAAGTGGGTCTATAAGAGAAAGAGAGGAGCAGATGGGAAGGTTGAGACCTTCAAAGCTAGGCTTGTTGCAAAAGGGTACACTCAAAAAGAAGGGATCGATTATGAGGAAACCTTTTCGCCGGTAGCCATGCTCAAATCCATCAGGATTCTCTTGGTTGTAGCCGCTCATATGGATTATGAGATTTGGCAAATGGATGTTAAAACTGCTTTCCTTAACGGGAATTTGGACGAGGACATCTATATGCACCAACCAGAAGGATGTTGGTGTTATATACTTAAGCTTTGCTTTAGTGGATATTACACTTGTT